CTTCCTCAGAAAATTAAAAGTAGAATAACCATACAACTCAGCAATTCTACTTCTGGGTTACTTATCTGAAGAAATCCAAAACTCAAAGTTGAAAAAATATATGTACCTCTATATTTTATATATCTATAAAATATATGTACCACTGCAGCATTATTTATAATACCCAAGATATGGAAGCAACTTAAGTGTCCATGGATAGACAAATGGATCAAGAAGATGTGGTATATATATATACAATGGATTATTACTCAGCTGTAAAAAGAATGACATCTTGCCATTTGTGACATCATGAATGTACCTATAGGATATTATGTTAAGTGAAACAGGTCAGACAGAGGAAGACAAATACTATTTGATTTCACTTATATGTGAAATCTGAAAAAAATAAATGGGCAAACAAAATGAAAACAAATTCACTGATACACAGAACAAATTAATGGTCAATAGATGGGAGGGGGTTGGAAAATGGGTGAAAAAGGTGATGGGACCAAGAAGTACAAATTGGCAGTATAAAAGAAGTCATGGGGATATAAAGTGCAGTATAGGGAATATCTTCAATAATATTGTAATAACTATGTATGATGTCAGATGGGTACTAGGCGTATTGGGGTGATCACTTCACAAATTATATAAATGTCTAATCATTATGTTATAAACTGAAACTAATATAATACTGTATGCCAACTGTAATTGAAAAAAATCAAATTTTAGATTACATTTTTTATTGTAGGTCAATTATATCTTAATAAGGATATTAAAACATATGTTAAACATATAAATATGTACTTTACCTTATGAATAAATAAAATAGAATACATATCAAAATAAAGTACCTGAACAGTCAATTCACAAATGAATGTAATGACTGATAAATATCAAAAAAACCAAAAATATCAAAAAATCATAATCAAAGGAATAAAAATTTAAAATGACACCATTTTTTCATATTATATTTTATACTATTGTGTATTTACCAATTAACATGGTAAATGTAAAAACCCTTGGTCATACCTAGTGTTGATAATATTTTGGGGATATGAGAATCCTCATACAGTGTTGGTGGACATACAAATGGGTAAAATTTTTTTGGAAGGCAATTTGACAACATATAGCAAAAACCTAAAACACACAAAACTTTGACACAATAATTCTGCTTCTAGATATTGATGTACGGGGATGTACACAAGAATTTGGGAATAAGAACATTTACCATATTTTTATATTAGCCGAAGACTGCAAAGTACCTAAAAGTTTAACATTAGAAAATAGGTTGAATAAGATATGGTACCTCTTACCCATACAGCCATCAAAAATAAAACTATAGAAGAATATTTAGAGACATTGCAAGATGACTGTCGTATAATATTTGGTGAAAAATGTTATAAGAAGTATATAGAGTATGATTTCATTTTAGGCAAAAGATATGTATAATGTGTATATTAATGGTTAGGAAAAAGATACTGACATTGGTTATCTTCAAGCTAGTTTTCATTTTATATAGTTTTCATTTTCTTTGTTTTGCTTCTATTTTTAATTGTTCCATAATGAAGATGTATTGCTCTTATAATAAAAATTCCAATAAAAGTTATTTTTCAAAAAATATCAATGCTAATGCCCTATAAATGATAATGTGATAAAAATATTTAACAGAAGGCTGCAAAAGGTGTAGGTGCTGCAGGGAGCCCTGAGATGCTGCTGCTCTAAATAATGGAGTCCTGTGACCTGGACCTGGACCACTAAAGGTGGGGGCATGGGCTCTGCCCTCCAGAGCAGTTTAGGCCTCCCTGCAGAAAGCACAGCTGTAAAACAAGCATGAAAAACTTAGCACCTGTCTTGCCTAGGACAACAGATCCAGCTAGGTTGGGTCCACTCTGCATGGCAGACCCCTCCACTGGGCATTTTCCATGTCTATGTCATGTAGAAAAGAGTGTGAGAGGAACCAGTGACTCACTAGACCCAGGTGTTCATTTACGGTTATGGAAAGTGATGCCCAGATGGGCCCATGCATGTGTCACTTAATCAACATTCCTTCTTGAAAGCTACAACAGTGGCTTGAAGTGAAATCTATGCCAGAGTATCTGATAACTAAAATAGCCATTTCTGGAATACCTACCTACTGGGACTCTTGACATGTGAGCCTTAACAGAGAAGAGTTAGCTCTGATATATGGCTTCAAAAACCCAGAATCTCACTGCCTCCCTTCTTCCCATGAAAACATGATAATGAAGGTCCATGACTTTTTGTCTCTGTGCACAGAACCACGAAGTTCTCTGAATCTATTGCAGTCAATTAACCTTGTAGAGGGGAGAAATACATACACAGGAATCTCACCATTCACTGGCTACAACTCGGTTGGCAAATGGCTTTTATCTTATATACCAACTGCCACCATGCTTGGTGGGAATGTTATAATAAATTCCAAGGCAGTGAGTGCCTGGACTAAGTGAAAAAGGATGTCATGATTGAACAGAGATATCTTGGCTGTGAAGGGGAGATTAACAGTATTTTTATCACATATTTCCATCCTGCTCTAGAACATTTCTTACCCTCAAAATAGGATTTCTTCATTAAATCTCTCCCACTAGTGATACCTCTAACAAAATAGCAGATTAACTCTTTCAAATACTACTGTTACTACATCATTCTCCCACTTAAAAACCTCTAAAGGCCTGTCCACGTTTCCCACATAGTAAATCTACTTTCTTAGTCTAATAATCAAAATCCTTCACAATTTGATGCCATTTCCTGTTCTAAGTTCTCAGCAATCCTAGACAGAATCGCTTCCCTGACCTATTTCTTCTACCCAGAGCACAAACTCAGGTCTAAAAGAATCACCTATTGGAGCCAGAGATGAGAACAACTGAACTAAGAGATCAAGAGGAGTCCATAGCTGGGAGGTTCAAGCTGAAGGTGGGTGTTAGAAATCTTGGGGTATGGGTCCAGGCAAAATCTGAGTAGACAAGCTCTAGCTGAGGTTTGCTCCTTTTGATGGCCTAATTTCTATCCCAGTTTAGCTGCCCATCATCAGTTTTAAAGCAGTGATATTTTACAGCTGTTGCTGAACAGACACACAATATATAGCCCACAGATTTTCATCTCTGAGCTTATGGCATCTTCTTACCTTGAGTGCCTGTTTCCCTTCCTTTCTGCCTATTTGAATCCCACCCATCCTTCAGCGCTCAGCTCCAAAGCATCAAGGCGAGGTCAGGGTCTGTTTCAAATGACCTACTTCTCGGAGTCCTGATACTTGACATCATTCTCTAATTCATCTCCACAATTCCACATAGATCTTTCCTAGTTCTACAGTGCATTTGAGATAGTGACATTCACCACTGGAGTTCATTTTGCCCATCCAGTTACATTCAGGGACTTTATGGATACTGACTCGCTGTCTCATTCAAATGGAGCAGTCTGGTTGTGAACTGGTGTATTAAGGTGTCTCTTAACTGTTAGATTTAAACATTAGTCTAAGGTAATAAAGCACCATAAACTAGCAATAAAATGCAGCAATATAAAGCACAATAAATTCTTATTGCCCATGGCTAAAATGAGACAAAATAGTATTCCAGAAGAAGGGAGAAAGTAAAGCTATCATGAAAAAATATAAGCAGGTTAACTTTTCCAGCATGCTGAATGGCACCTGAGTGTGAACTTAAAAACACACAATTGCTGGATATCCTGCTAGTGAGTGGGCTGATTAATAGTTGTAACAATTTCTCATAGTGATGAGTCTAAAATAAAAATTCACGATGCACACATCTAGTTTAGAATAAGTTTACCTTTTATAAACGAAAGAAAATACGCAGTTTGAAACCTAAGAATTCTGATTAACATGATGTGGCCAAACCCAATGCCAAGCTCGTATAAGTTATAGGAAATAGAATAGGACTACTTGTTACTATATCTTTGTCTTATTTTTACCCAGATCAGAAAGAGAAATATCAGAAGCTTTTTCCATATGCCCATTTACTATAAACATCCTTTGCTAATTTCAGGTGATAATGAAAACTGATACTCTTTCTGTGCTATAATGCTAAACATATCAGTCTCTGTGGCCATGTTGATAAAGTCTTTGCTAGTATGACTGGGACCTCATCGGCATCCTGGTTTGGTGGGGACAAGAGTAGGAAAACTTTTAACTTTGAACCAAAGAGATAATTTCAACAGTCATTATCAACATTCTGGACCATCTAGAGTTAGCAGGAAGATTTTCTCCATTTTGTAGGCCTGTTTTTTTTTTTTTTTTTTAAGGCCCTTGAAGGCAGAAGAATTCTTCTACTCCACACTATCTCCAGAGGTCACGCTGGGAATGCAGAGGTTCCTCTGGCATCTCCATGATTTTAGTGTGAGGGACCTAGGACTTGGGTGGCCTCGTGCAACTCTCCACTACCAGAGGGCACCAGCCATGTGAGCGTGAACTTGGTGAAGGTTCCCTATGATGATGCCAGAAAAGTCACACCCGGTGAAGCTATTTAAACACTTGCTTTGAGGAGTCTGTCTAGATTGGGTTCAGGCCTACCTATAGAAGGCTGGCTTAAATAGAATTGTCTGATTTTGGAGGATGCTGATATTTCAGTTTTTTTCTTGAAAGCTGATTACAGCTCTAGTTTAGTTGGGAGAAGGTCATGGGGGGAATACTGGGGTATAGCTGGCAAGAAGTGAGGAGATACGGGAGCTGTTCTTTACTGCTCTGTTCTTAACTCATTGTTCAGTGAGTCCATCTGATTTAGAAGACCTGGACTGTGGAATCAGGCCAAGAGGATTCAGAAAGGAGCCACGTTGGAATCTAGACAAGCTAGAGTCCAGACTAAGAACTGCACTCACCTCATATGGAAAGTCAGCCAAGTTTCCATTGGCGAGTCTGGATTCTGTAGACAATTTAGTGATTTCCTGTTGGCCACCCCTCACTGCTGCCTCCTTCCCACCTGCAAGCAGTCACCCATCCATAAATCCTGTCCAGCCCTGGACTTCTGCCCAATGTTCCAGAGGGTTGGACTCACCAAGGAGAGCGGAATTCCCAGGATCCAGGACCAGCTGTGTTCCCAGAGGAGATGTCAGCACTGAAGGCAAGTTTGGTCCAGTGGCGGAAAGCAAGGCTCTGATGTCTTCCAACTGCGTGGGGACTTGCGGGGGATCTATGAGAAGGCAAATGGTGAATCAGGCAGGTTAAAGCACAAAGGCTATATTAAGCGGAGAGAGAGGTGAACATGCATGTGAATGTGTCTGTGTATGAGGCAGGCATTACTCTTGTTGCCTTTTTAACAACAATTTTTCCTACAGAGAAGGTGCCTACAAAGGTGAGTCTGAATTTCAGAGTTAACATTTGATGCCTGAAACAGTAAGGTCAGTAGTGAGAATCAGGCATGTTGATTCCAGGAGTTCCTTACTAGTACCACTTTATACCACAGTACCACTGGGTCCCTATAAATGCGTAGGTAAATTAAATCATATTATAAAGACACTTTACAAAAAGCCAACACTTCTTCAGCTTTCACTAAATGCCAAGTCCTGTACTAGTTTCATTTCTTTTTTCATTTAAAACATCCTGTAGAGGGAGGCACTTTGTCATTGTTCCCACAGACAGGGATATACCCCAGGAATTCTTATTTAAAAGGAGTCTTTTAAATAAGAGTGGCTTTTTATGAGGAAAAGGTCCATTTATGAAACTGTGAGATAATCTGATTTATGGTCTAAATTTTTTATGACCAATAGGACAGATAAGCAGGATAGGGATGATCTGCTATTTAAAATCTGATAAGGAGTCAGGGCTGACGTCATCAGGGGTCACAGTGAACCAGAGCCAAAGTGTCAAAAGTGGGAAATACAGTAGCTTTCTTTTCATTTCCACTGGACAAATAAAGAGGCAAGTGCCAGCGAACCCAGTGGTGGGATGACCCCACTTTCTTCTGGAAAAGCAGCAGAATCCTGTTCCCCTGCTTCCTTCATCTTCTGAAACACTGCAATTCACAGTCCCAAGGCCAACTTCCACCCTTTTCTCTAGAGCCCTTTTGGAACAGGAGAGAAACAGGAGTGTCGTTTTTATAATTAATAACCATTTCAATAGCATTCAGTGAGGCCTGCTATGTGCTTGTCACCTTGTCAGCTAGGGCAAATGAATCATGATGGTGCCAGAGTTTACTTCAGAAACATATTTTTGTCTACTGTGCCTTGGAATGCAAAAGAAAACAATGATGGCCTTGATATATATACTTTAAAAATTACAAATACATTATATGTTACATAATATATAATTTAAAAATATTCTTTATATGGTATAGAGTAAAAACATCACATTTGGGTTCAGGAACCCTCAGTTTGAGATGTGGTTCTGTCACTCACTAACTTGGGCAAGTCACTTATTCCCTTTGAACCTGTTTCCTCATCTATAAAATGGAACTTCATAATTTCCAAGATCTCTTTCTACTCTAAAACACTATGGTTTTAGCAATCGATGGTAGGAGTTTCCTCAAACCTAAATTCTCTTCCTCCCTTCCTTCTTAATGTTCCTTTAAGAACACTGAAATTGAATATCGAGGGAAAAAGAATTCCTTTAAGAATATTAAAACTCAGGAAGTCTTTGCGTATTTACTAAAAACTAAAAGAGTTAGGTTATGTCCTATCTCTAAAACCATCAAACTTCTTGGTGCAAATGTCAACACCTTCTCACGTCCTCACAGTTTCTATTTTATTTTTCTTTTACAGTGCATGTCCATTTGGTCTTTGTATGGAAACTGTAAATTCTTCAAGGAGAGAGGTCTCCTCTTATATTTATCCTAAAGCTCTACATGGAACTTAGTGAATATTCTACACTTAATGAATATTCACCTAGCGGCTATGTGAGTAAAAGTCTGTCTCATTACACTTCAAGTCTCCATGCTGTAAGTTAAGTCACAGAACTTGGCATGAAATCCCAGCTTTATACACAAAATCCCTGGTTTAAAAATTAAGTCACATTTTTGGCTGATTAAAAAAGTAGACACTACTTCTACATTCACAAACGACCTATAAAACTAATGAGCTTTGATTAATAAACCAAGACTTCTGATCAAGAAAAGCCCAAAACTTAAGAGTCTAAATCATGACTTTTTTCTCATCAACTTTGATTAAAATGGGAAGATGCTGTGCTCTTCAAACCCTGTGTTCACAGTCACACTGTATTAGAGTTGGAATGCTGCGAGAAGTGGCTCCCAGAACATATCCACTTCATTGGCAAAGCTACAGTAGCAGCTACACATCCTAGGCTTTCATCTCTGTAGCAGAGGCAACAAGGAAGGGTTATTAGGGAGGAAAAACCCACAGTAAGCACCATTACTCAGTGTGGGGCAATAGTCTCTGGGTCTCAATCTCCAGACTAGCAGCTCAGCTGGATGAAACCCAACACAAAACAAATGATATCCTACATTGAGCTGATTTTCTGTGACTTCCTAAGATGACTGGAGGTTTATGCAGCCACTGGTGAGATGAAAACCCATATGGGCTTCTCTGAAATCTGAGTGAGCAAGGGCTAGAGACCTTATGCTTTATTATATCATCAATTTGGGGTATAAAAATACAAGTATTAAGTTTAATTACTTTTCCCTGAGGAAGTCCATGGTATATAATTAGACATATTTCTCATATTCTTCCTTTTCATCTTAGAATGATAGCTTTTTCTTGGTGAACGAGTTAGCATAAATGCTCTAATAATTGCTTTTTTAAAACTGTAAGACAACCTCACATTCTGTGGGGAAGAGAAGCAGAGGGTCCCTAGACCAGGGAACAAAATGGTTATAGCTTGCAACATGGCTGAGTCTAACACTGGGCAATAGCAGGTGTTGGATATGTCCCAGCAATTGTTAGTTTTAAACATCTATTTTATGACAGGAACTGTGTTAAACTTTTTACTCAGGGGTTCTTATGTTTGGGAGTGCTATAGTCTGAATGTTTTTCTTCCCCAAAATTCATATGTTGAAATTATAAACCCCAAAGGTGATGGTATTAGAGAGATGATTAGGTCATGAAGAGATTCGTGCCCTTATAAAAGAGACCCCAGAGAGCTTGCTTGCCCTCTGCCACATGAGAACACAGCAAGAATTCACCAGTCTGCAACCTGGAAGAGAGCCTTCACAGAACGTGACCATGCTGGCACCCTGATCCTGCACTTCCAGCTTCTAGAAGTGTGAGAAATCAATTTCTGTTATTTATAAGTTACCCAGTTTGTGGTATTTTGTTATAGCAGCCCAAATGGACTGAGGGGGTACAAGTGCGGACTTCACTAGACTACGAACTTCCCACAATTACATAAAAAATCTTGCATGTATGAATTTTTCGGGAGGCGTTAATCTATAGTTTTCATCTGATTCTCAAAGAAACCCTTAACACAGGAGTTAAGAATAACTGCTTTACTCCTGTCACCTCTATTTGAGGCCTACCCTTTCACCAATGTGGGCATCCTTCCTGTTTCGTAGGTCTCCACAGGAAGACCAGAATCTAAACTTAGCAAGGTTAAGTAACTCGCCCAAGGTCACACGGTAAGTGGTGGAGCCAGGGTTCAAACTAATGTCTGCCTGGCCCCAAGCCTGAGTTCTTTCTATTGGAAGATATTAAGGTGGGGAGAAGGGAAGGAATATTGATTTTACCTTTATGTTCTTAATTGGATCAGGGAAAAGAGGAGGTGCAGGGTGAGTTAGACAGTCACCCCCAACGGGGTCCACCAGGGGCAGCCAGCCTCGAGGTGTTTACCTAGGATCAGAAGCTGAGTGTTCTCGGTCAGCTCTCCATGCACATTGGCTGCTCTGCAGGAATACAGGCCCTGATCTGAAGAAGACACATTTGTGAGCAGCAAGGAGCCCTCGTGCAGATGGTGAGGGGAGCCCAGTTTGCTTTTATTCCTGAACCAAGTGACTTCAGCTTCAGGCACACCTAGGAAGAAAAAAAATAAACTCATCAGCCAAACACATTCAGGTGACTCTGGATGCATTTATAACTTCTTGGCGAGCATTCCCGGGGGCCGCTCGGCAGGAAGCATCTGCCTGGGCGTCTTCTACTATCCTTTGGCCAAACTAAATAATGCGGCAGACCTCTCAGTTGTCTGGAGGTTTTTTGCCTTTTCAGACTTACACTGATGAGGCAGGAAGAGGGAGGCCAGTTAAAAAAAGATGAAGCAGGCAGCTGGTAAAGGGTACTTGCAGAGGTGGAAGTAGAGTACGAAGATTCTTTGGAGAAAATGTATTATAAAAACAGAAGAAACAAATCTATATACATCATTGAATGGAATGATTGACAACTACATGAAAGAAAATGTTGAGTAAGAAAAGTCAGACACAGAACAGTATATGCTCTATGACCTTTCTGTAAGTGGAAAACAAAAACTGGTGACATCAATCTGTGCTGTTAGTAGTCAGGGTGGGATAAACTGGGAGGAATTGTGACTAAGAGGGGGACAAGGGGCTGGGCTGCTGGTAATGCTGTTTCTTGACCTGGGGGCTGGTTTGGTGAGTTTGTCACCTTTATGATATGTACATTTTTCTGTGTAGATATTACACTTCCATAAATATGTTGAAAGCCACAAAATGTTGATATATTCATGAACCAGACAAAGGAAAACTGCTAGATTCCTATCACAGCTGACACTGTGTGTGGAAAACATGTCTGTTTTTTGAAGTCTGTGTATTTTCTTAGAACAAGAGAACATGGAACTATCGTATTAGTACCACCACAGAAAAAGAAAGACGAGAAGACAGTGCTCTGCTCTCTCCTCAATCCAACTTTACTGTCTGTGAGGAAAGGCTGGGAAGAATGTGTGTATGTGAATTGGGATGCAGTACTTGATTTTGGAAACTAAGCCCTATCTTCTAAGGCAGCGGTCTCCAATCATTTCGGCACCAGGGACCAGTGCTCTTATGAGAATCTAATGCTTGATGATCCGAGGTGGAGCTGAGGCAGTGATGCTAGCTCTGGGGAGTGATTGCAAATACAGATTAAGCATCACTTGCTGGCCTACTGCTCATCTCCTATAGAGCAGCCTGGTTCCTAACAGGCCATGGACTGGTACTGGTCTGCGGCCTGGGGTTTGGGGACCACTGTTCTCTGGCTATTATAGACTGAATGCTTGTGCTCTCACAAATTAGTATGCTGAAGCCCTAACCCCTAATGTAATGGTATTTGGGGGTAAGGTCTTGGGAGGTATTTAGGTTTAGATGAGGTCATAATGGGGGAATGGTGGTTCTCATGATGGGATTAGTGCCCTTTATAAGAAGAGACCAGAGAACTAGTACTCTCTACGAGGCAAGGACACAAGAAAATAGCTGTCTGCAAGCCAGGAAGAGAATTTTTTTGCCAAGAACTCAACCAGCACATTGATCTTGGACTTCTCAGCCCCCAGAGAAGTAAACTTCTGTTGTGTAAGCCACTCAGTCTATAGTACTTTGTATTAGCAGCCCGAATAGACTAAGACAAGGGGACGGCCTTAATGCCTTAGAAAGTATCCTTGTGATTAACATGCTGGTAAGCAGGTCCTAGCGTAGCACAGCCTTCTGAGGTAGTCTTCATAGGAGGCTCCCTAGGAGGCTGAGCTCTGAGTGAGTTGGGAGACAGAAAATCTGTGGCATTAATTCACAGGTCTTTGGGTAACAGAGAGCTCTATCCTTTGCATCACCTAACATGCTGACCCAGCTCACAAAGTTTAATCATAGAACTCTTGGCAGATGGCATGATTCTCTATATAGAAAATCCTAAAGACTCCACAAGAACACTATTAGAAACAATAAGCAAATACAGTAAAGTTTCTGGATACAAAATTGATGTTCAAAAATCCATAGCATTCCTGTATTCTAATAATGAAGTATCAGAAAAAGAAGTGGAAAAAATAATTCCTTTTGCAGTTGCAACAAAAAGAATAAAATAACTTGGAATAAATCTAACAAAACATGTGAAGGACCTATATAATGAAAACTATAAGACCCTATTAAAAGAAATCAAAGAAGATATAAAGAAATGGAAAGATATTCTGTGTTCTTGGATTAGAGGAATCAACATAGTTAAAATGACCATATTACCTACAGCATTATTCAGATTAAATGCAATCCCCATCAAAATCCCATCGGCATTTTTTAAAGAAATAGAACAAAAAAATCACCAGACTTTTTTGGAAGCACAAATGATCCTGAATTGTCAAAGTCATCCTGAGAAAAAAGAACGAGGCGGAGGCATCACTCTGCCTGACTTCAAATTATACTACAAAGCATCAATAGTCAAAACGGCATGGTATTGTCAGAAAAACAGACATACTGACCAGTGGAACAGAATTGAGAGTCCAGAAGTAAACCTATATTTATACGGGCAAATAATTTTCAACAAAAAAGCCACAAACATACAGTGGAGAAAGGAAAGCCTCTTCAATAAATGGTGCTGGGAAAACTGGAATGCCAACTGCAAAAGAATGAAACTAGACTGTTGTCTATCACCACA